ACCTACCTTTATAAAATAATTTACGTAATAAATACAACTATAAGCTTTCTTTCAACCTTTAGAAATCATTAATTCATTCTGCTCAAAAACATTCTTCTAGTAAATTTCAAATAAATAGTCCCTTTTATCTTTAAGGAATAAAACTGGTTTGCAAGGGAATTCATTGTAAACAGTAATTGGCAATTCATGGAATATTCTGTCTTTGGAAGTATGTCGAAGTTTATTTAAAATGTTCATTCTAAATGCAAAATATATTCAGCGTTATAATTTACTCTTTGTCAAAACGTTTCTTTCGATAATTTAAATAACAATTTTTACGGTGGATCGATTGTTTAGAGAACCTGTTGATTATTCATTTATTTACGGTTTATCTTGAAAAAAAATCTGATGTGTCCAACACATGACTTTCCTATCTAGTTATTATAGGCTTTTTCCGGTTATTTTGTACAACCTATTGTAGCACCTCTATACATGTTTAGAGTATAAACTAAATATATACATTTTCCACATACATCTAACTCGAAACATTTTTCTATAGATATTCATTGAAAACGAAAAGACTGAAAAATTTAAATTTAGCACTTTTCCTTCAATTTTTCCAATACGTTCCATTTTAGAAAAATCATATATGAAATAAAAATTATAGAGATCGATATCACAAATAATTTTTATTTAAACAATTTTCCTAAAAATTTGAATTTTATTACATTTTGTCAAATTTCTCGAATACGGACCATTTAAAAAAAAATTGTAAAGAACCAAAATTATACATAATAATATTGTAAGTAATTTTTATCTAAATAATGTTCTTCTCCAAACATCAATAACAGATATATTCCAATATATATAAAAACGGCCTCTTATAAAGTACCCCTTAAATGTTCCGCCTTCGTCCAAAATCTAATCATTTCACCTCAGGCCGAAATAGAACTTAATTTTAAAATTTAATGTTTTTTTTCTTTATCCGTTTTTGAGTTTTCACACACAGACATCATTCTGAAAATAGTCAAAACGGATTCAGGGGACCCCAAAACGTAAAAATCCGTCGAAAACTGGAGGTCGAAAAAAATTATGATTCCTATACTTTCCTTATCTGTATACAGATAGGAAAATAAAAAGGAAAAAAATGTTGCAACCCCGTTAGTTTCATCTTGTAGTTGATTTAAAAAAAAAAACGTGGCTGGAGAGGGAGATGCAGGGAAATAGAAAGGCATATGCGCCTGCCAGATTTTTATCCTTTGTTATATTTTTGGGGTAAGAGCCCTTTATACTCGAAATAGTTTTGCTAAATTGCTACGCACATATAGTCTAAGAGCTGGCTACGTAGGGGTAGGGGTCAACCACATACTTCGATTTTTTCTTACTATACGGAGAATGGTCGTACTGCGCAGCTTTCTGAGTGCCTTTTAAAAGGAGAGAAAAATCCGCCATTTTGACGCCTTATTACGTATTGCCTACATCTTGGCGCAATAGTTTTAGTCATGTTGAAGTGGTTATGTTATAATATTTACCAAAAATCAGTCCCCAAAGATATTTACGAACCTACACTTTACAAAATTATTAACAAATAATGAATATCTTGCAAACCTTGCTTTACTTGGTGATTTTATGTTCAATATTTCCATTTGTAAGTAACAGTAACTACTTTATTTATGTTCTTATTATTGTATTCTAAAGATTTTTATTTTTTAGGTCTCCTACGAAACTCAAGCACTTAACATAAACAGTGGTTACAAAGCATTTATCAAATTGTTTATAAATTATTTTTAGCTCAACTTCGTTACTTTTCTTCTCAGCATTTTGAGGAAAATGCTTATTTCTCTTATGTAAAAAGGTATGTAATCAGTCATGAACCAATTCGTTGTAGAAGGCACATACCAAGAAAATTAAAGCATTTACTTCAATAGATGGGAGCAGTATTAAAACTGGCTCCTTTACAAAGCTAGAGGGCGTTAAACTAACATTAAAAAAAAACGTATTTTTTTGGTAAAAAGTTTACTGTTGCGATTTTCTCTTTGAATTTTTTGCTATTGCTGTAGATTTGAACGCTCAATATTCTAAAGAGAAAAAAATTAAAGCGAAAAAAGTTAGAGGATTGGGTACCTTTTAACCCCCCCCCATATTTTTTTTGACAAAAAGAAACTTGCTTTATCGTTCCTAAAATCAAAAAGAACTATGAATCTTTAATATTTTCTTATAGTGAAATGAACTTTTTATATTTCTTAGTTAACGAGCTATTTACAATTTTTAACTGAATTTCTAGAGCAATTCGTCCGTCCTGGACTTAACATATGAACAAAACTAAGAGTATGTCAGGAGTTATTGTACAAGAAATGCATGTAAAAATTAGTGGTGTACCTAGGGCTGTGCTTGAGCCGCCCCTGCAGAAACTACCTTTTTTATTTATATTTTTGTATTCAAGAAGGAGGAGGACATGTTAAACATTTACTAAATTAAATAGTTTATAAAATATGTATCATAATTATTGTCAAATGTTTATTTTTAATTGTTAATTTTTTGTTAAATTGTTTAATTATTTTTTTTTTAATTATTATTAAATTTAATAAATACATTTCCAAACTAACGTGTATGTTTATAAGTGGCATGGTGAATCCATGAGGATGGGTGGCACACCATTTTTATAGCGCAAAATCAATATTATAAATACCTTTTTTTACAAAAATATAAATAAAAGAGGTAATTTTTACAGGGGCAGTTCAAGCACAGCTCTAGGCACACCAATGATTTTTATATGCGTTTTTTGTACAATAACTCCTGACATACTCTTAGTTTTGTTGATATGTTAAGTCCAGGACGGACGAATTGCTCTAGAAAATCAGTTAAAAAATTGTAAATAGCTTGTTAACTAAGAAAGATACGAAGTTCACTTCGCTTTAAAAAAAAAATTAAAAATGTATAGTTCTTTTTGAATTTAAGATCGATAAAACAAGTTTCTTTATGTAAAAAAAAATACGGCGGGGTTAAAAGGTACAGAACCCCTCAACTTGTTTTAAGGGGGTTGCTTTAAATTTTTTTTCTCCTTGGAAAATTGGGCCTTTAAATCTACAGTATTAGCAAACATTTCAAAGAAAAAATCGCAACAGCAAACTTTTTACAAAAAAAAAAGTTTTTCTGAATGTTAGTTTAACGTCCTGTAACTTTGTTGGGAACCAATTTTTGATATAGGTAAATATAGCCAAATATAGCCAAATCCACTTATTTTTTGGTAATCTATCTGAGGAAGAATTTATGACGTAAATTTTTAAAACAACCTATATATTTGCTATTTTCTAAAATATATTGCCCAATAACTTAAATTTATTGTAAATATCGCTGTTTAGATCTTTTACGTCAAGTGAAACTAAAAAACAATTTGGTCCGCTTTTTTGGATCAAATACCCTTCCGTGCTACGGCTAGATTTTGTTGCAGTATCACGTGTTGGTTGTAATGGAATGTTTTAGTAGCAAGGCGGCTATTTACGCTATAACTCACAGGAATATAAAAAGAAAGTTTTAGCCGAATTTAAACAAAACAAAGACGTGGTTCCTTCCTTAAGATAACCTGCAGCTCACACAAGAGATTTTTAGCCAAGTATCTAGTTCCTTGTATTATTACATCCACCCTGAATATTGAATCTCACCTCACGTATTTTTTTTATTACCCACAGCCAAATCAGTAATGAAAGAAACCAGTTTTAAGAAAGTAGAGCTCTCAAAGGAATAGCGACTGAGACCATAAACTTGCTATCAAAAAATTATTATTAAAGTCTATTCAAATTTAATTTACGCCTGATGTAAACAGAAGCAGGTGGACGCTAAAATTGAGCAGGGCCGTATTTTACTTTTCCGTCTTGCAAAAATGTAAAATAAAATAGTGTAATTGTGAAATTATTTTTTTAATACGATAAAAACATATTTTGTAAAGTAAAACTATAAAATAAATGCCATACACGGTCTCCCAGACTTTAGTGACATTTCTGGACGAAGATAGGTAAGCGACATAAACTGCGTTAACCTGCAATACAAATTAATAAATGTATTTGACTTTAAAAGAGATGGTTGCATTATATTTAGTTCATTACATATGTCTACTGTGATACAGAGCATTAAAACAATCATATTATAAAATTATATTGTACAGGGTGTCCAAATAATTGCAAATTCTTTAATAGCTAATATATATCTAATAAAAGCATTTAAAAAACTTTACATATAAGAGGTATTTGGTATTTGAATTTGGTATTTTTGATAACTTTTGTTCTTTATTGTTCTTGTTCTACTAGTATTTAGATTAGACAACTTGTACCCTGTATTATAGCAATCTTCCTTACTTGACTTAGAACTATTCTGAATCGGATAAATTAGTTAGACTTGAAAGGCTATCTTCATTAATCAAAATTACAAGTGGTTCTACCTGAACCTCTATAATATTATCCAACTCCCACATTTTTACTTCAACTTTTTATAATTATCCAAATTGAACTGAATTCGACTCTGACAAAAAATATTTGAGCGTCGTCTAAATGACTAACGACCGATTAACCAATAGAAGAGCAAAAAAATGTCACGTGAGCTGTTGCTGGATGGGAGAAATTGTTTTGACGCGGCGTAAATGAAATCTGAATAGACTTTAGCACTGCTATGGCCAATGGAAAATTCGCAAGGAGCGGTATAGAGATCGCTGAGTGAAGTACTACAATAAAGCACTAATACTTTTTTTTTAGCTATAACTCGTATGGTGGATCTTTAGATTTTGCGCGAAAAGTGAAATTTGTGTTTGGCCCTCTTGAATTTCAAAAGCTTGCTAAATAAAATAAAAAATATATAAAAATTATGAATATATTTTATTTTCATAATTAAATAGATTTCAACCATAAAAATAGGTTTATATTTTGCATTTTTATTATATAATATTTCCAATTTGGTTTGGATTTGGTTTAATAGTCCAGACAAAATATATATTCTTTACAGCTAATAGAAATGTTTTCTACAAAACGTGAAATCCCGTTATTTAATCAATAGAAGAAAAAATGTTTTTTCAGGAACTTTTTATAAAATCAACCTTTCTTTATATTATAATTTTCATAGAATATTAAATTAACTTGGCCTTAATAACGACCTCGCTATTATGATGTCCCATTTTTCTCAAATGCGGTGGTAGATTAATTTTAATAATTTTAAAAGACTCAATACTTTGATTTATTTCAGGAACGATTTTTTTTCTATGTTGATGCTTTTTCCTCAAATGCGATATATTATTTCGTTCATTTTGGTTTCGGACTGCTTCTTTTAACTTTAAAGACCTCAAATATTTTTGTTCGCTTATTTTATTGTTGACGTTGTTAGTGTTTTTAAGTAGATCTTTATTTTTTAAATCCTTTATAATCTTTTCCAACCTCTCTTCTAAATGCTTCTGGTTCTTCATAAGTATTGCTTCCTTATGGTTATGAGTTTTATCCACCTTATTCATAAAATGTCTCCAATTATCCTGATCCTGATCATCATGTTCTAACTTTAAAGTCTCGAATTGTTTAGCCAAATCTTCTAAGCTTTTGTGCAATGAAGACATTTCTTCTTTCATTTCATTCACAGAAGTTTCGAATTCACTTTTTATTAACTCCATATTTGTTTGCAATCTGTTGTTAAGTATAATTTCGTTGTCAGTTTTGTTGCTTAAAATTTCCACTTTATTGCTTAAATTATATATTTGTTGTTGTTGTTTTTCTTGATGTTGTTTTTCTTGTTGTTGATCTTGTTCTCGTTGTTGTTGTTGTTCTCGTTGTTGTTGTTCTCGTTGTTGTTGTTCTCGTTGTTGTTCTTGTTGTGGTTCTCGTTGTTGTTCTCGTTGTTGTTCTCGTTGTTGTTGTTCTTGTTGTTGTTCTTGTTGTTGTTCTTGTTTTTGTTCTTGTTGTTGTTCTTGTTGTTGTTCTTGTTGCTGTTCCTGTTGATTTGGTTGTTTTTGTTGTTCTTGTTGCTGTTCCCGTTGTTGTTTTTGCTCTGGTTCTTTGAGTTGTGGTTGTTTTTGTTGTTGTTCGTTTGGCTTCGGAATATCGCTTAGTTTGGATTCAAAATTTGTTACAAATTTTGTGTGATTCTCGAGTCTATCCAGTCGATGTAGCAAATCATCCAAAGAAATTTGAATGTCTGGAATACTATTAACAGTTTCTTTGACTTGTTTTAACTGTATTGCGACATTACTTTCATCTTTGTAATAAAGTTTTGTTTTTTCTTCCATGGATTTAACGTCCGCTTCCAAATTTTCAACTTGTTTGCTCAACTTTTCTGTTTCCAACTTTTGTAAATCAATTGTGGATTCAAATAATTTCTCTTCCTTTTTAAACTTGTTTCTAATTTCTTTTATATCACTTAATAGGAAACTTATATCGTTTTGTATATCGTTCATTGTAAAAGAATGACTATTTATATTCTTTTCCATTTGCATCAATCTATTTTGTAAATTTGCTGTATCTTCTTTTATTGCGGATATCATTGCAGCACCATCTTGTCTTGTTTTAATAGCATGACTTTGCCTTATTTTTCTCTTTTTGCGTTCTGAGGTGCTTCCTCCGTAAAATCTTTTTAAAGGTAGACCATTTTCCTTTCTATTATGTCTACTTCTTTCATTTATTCTACTCGTATCTCCAACAGATCTGTAACTTTGCCTTGATGATATTCTTCCAGTATATTTTGGAGAAAAAGAATTAAATTTTTGGCCAGATTTAGTAAAATATTTAGCCTTCCTGGTATGCTTTTCTCCCAATGATGTTTCTTTATTTTCTTCACTTTTGTTTATATCTGGAGTCATAGATATTTTTTTAGAAAGCGGAACGTGGTTAATTTGAAGAATATTCTTTGGTGTTGCTTGGGATCTTGTTCTAATTTGGTCTTTTTTTAATACGTTAGTCAAGTAGGTTTTGTTTAATATTTCTTTTGTTTCTTGATCTCCCATATGTTCTACATTTTCAATTTCATCTTCTTCTACTACCGAAGTTGGCTTTAATCCATCTTGTATCTCAAAAATTTGAGACTCTGCTTGTCCAAATTTTTCATATTTTTCTTTTTCTGCAGTGATAGGTATTTGACTTAAATTTTTACTTTTTGTTTTAAAATCATTATTCCCGTGATTCAATTCTGATTTAAATTGTAAAATTTCTGCAGATCGAATACCGTTTGTGCTTTCTTCTATTTCTTTATTAATTTCTCCGTTTACATATGTTTTTGTTGTTGGTAATTGAGATGCTTTTAAACTAATACTTTGCGTTTTATTATTATGGGATTGAGAGAGCTCTTCGTAATCTGTTTTTGGTGTCACTTTTTGTAGTCTAAAGAATTGGGATACATTCTGGCGGCTCAGATTTTTTTCTGTGTCATTTTTTACATCTTCAGATATTATCGAATGATTTCGTTTTTTCATCATCTTTGGAGTTGTATATGTTTCTTGCGAATCCGCTCTTGAAGCTAATTCTGCAGTTGTTGGTGTAACAGCTTCGGTGATTCCAATTTTTTTAATGCTATTGCATTTTTGAACCACTGGTTTTTCTAGTACTGGATAGTTTGAAGTTATATCGTCTTGTTCACAGTCTGTTTTAAATTTGTATCTTTGATCTTCTGTTCGATCTTGCAGATTTGATTCTATGGTAACATTAGAGCTACTAATCCTATCAGATTCTTTATTTTGATTTTTTGTACTTAGTTCCGGAGCTGATTTTGTTTCAACTCCATCAGCTTTAAGAGTACGTGAATTTACTTCTTTGTTTAGAGAAGACATTTTTGTTTTCATTTCTGATAGTTCGGTGAGTTTGTCACTTGACTCTACTTCTGATAGACTTATGGTATTAGCATTAAATACATTAGAGTTACTGTCATTAGAATGTTGCTTTACAGGATGTTCTAATACTTGATTATTTGTTGTTCCTTTATCTTGTTGATATTTTCTAATATCTATAACTAGAGGTCTAGAATTAAATACGTTAATTTTACCTTCTGTAATAAGTGGTGCGTTTGATAATTTTTCTGTTTCATATAAACCTTTCAACACATTTTCTGTTGTTAAAAATTTAATATGTTCTGTTGTAGATATGAGGGTACCTTGTGAAAGAAAACTTCTTGATTTTGATGTTTGATTTCCTATTATTTCTTTTTCTGTTTCTATTTCTGGTAAAGTTAACAAAATTGGTGTCAAAGCTTTAGTGTTATTAGATTTTGTGTGAAGTACATTTTCTGTCGGAACTTTAAATGATCTTTGAATTTCTTCAGATGAAAAATTTGTCATTGCTTTTGGTGTTCTCACAAGACTGTTGCTTGCTGTCACTTCGGGTAGTGTTGCAGGTACAGCTACAGAATTTTCAATGTTACTGGTACTCTCTAGTTCTCGATATCTTATCTTTGGATCATGTTTTTGATAGTCTGTTATTTTAAATTTACTTTTAGCATAATTATTGTCCCTCAAAATTGGTGCTCTAGATGTAGTAGCTTCTATTTGTACAGGATTTTCTTCTATTTCTTCTCCGCTTTCATTTGTACTTTGTAGCTTGTGGCTTACAGGTTTTTCTAATTGTGTATTACCTGCTTGATTGTTATTTATTTTTAAATATATAGTTTCGGAAACTAATGGTTTCTCAACTTGTTGGCGTGTGTCTTCTTCTTCTTCTTTTAAAATTGAAGAACTAAATGAAGGTTTTTGTAGCAATTTATCTTCATTTATTTGTTTTCCTTTATTCGTAATTTTTATACTTGTATTTACTAATAACTCTGTTTTATTCGTACCTAAAGTTGGTGAGTTATTTTTACTATATTCGTCATCTACTTTTATAAATTTACGTTTTATTTTTGATTTTGGTTCGAGTTTGATTCTGTGGTTTTCGATTCTCTTTTTAGGAGTTTGTATTTTATGTGCACTATAATCCTCATAATCTTCTGGCTCTATTCTGATAGTACTTACGTCTTGTTGTATTATAGAATCGTTACTACTTGTATTATCTTCATTGTCATCATTATCGTCATAGACAGCAATTACGGCTTTTTTTCTAGATAATTTTCGATTATTTTTTTTGTTTCTTACGTCAATTTTAGATTTTGTAGCGATTGTTGATCTTTCTCTATTATTTATTTCTGTATTCTGTACATTGTAATCTTCAGATTCCATTGCCAGATTTTTAATATTTTGAGTAAAATAATCGTAATCTTCAGCCTCTATAATAGGTATGTAATCTTCTTTGTTTTCTTGCCTTTTGTATCTTTTATGTTCCGTTGTTATTTTATCTCCTATTAGGTCATATTTTTCTGAATCTTTTTGATGATTGTTAGTTGATTCATTATTAGATGGGCTTATATCTGGTACCACTTGAGGTACACTTGATAGTAAATCTGTAAAGAAAAAAAAAATGTTATATAATAAGTTACATGTTTATGTTTTATTAAAATACAAAGTGAAAATAATGACCTTTAAATTATTTTTCTATAAATACGTACTATTTAGTTCAGGATTTAATTGTTCACTTGCACTAATTTTTCCAATTATATAGGTACAAATAAAACAAAATTTTAAAAGCACCTTCATTGTTAAAATATCGTATAAAAAATAATTAAATGGAGAGGGGAAATCAATTGGAACCAGAACATTAAAACGCTTTTATTGCATTTATTATACAGAGATAATATGTTTTAAAATTTACAATATTTTTACCGTATTGAAATTAATTAATTTAAAATTTAGTCAGCGGCATAAACGAATTTTTGATTATATTTGTTTGTTACAGTTTTTGTTTATTAAAAAATAACTCAAACCTCCGCAAACATAAACAAATTATTAAATTAACCAATTTAAACAATATGTCGTACTATTTTACATATAGTAACGATATAATATACAGATACTCAAACTCTGACAAATCATATTACTACAGCATTACATATTATCACAGCACAGGGTAATGTGCTGTGTAGAACAATAATATCAATATCTTGGGTCTGAAGAAAAATACTGTGGTTTAAGTTTGTGTAGCTTTCGGTATCTAGTTTGGACTTTAGTATTAAAATTTTTCCTAATATTTTCTAATAAAAATCTTTCTTGTTTTTAATATATTTAGCATCCATCCTATTATTAATTTGTACCAATTAATAAGGATATTTTGTTACTGTTTAATTAATTTTAAATATTAATATATACAACAAGTTTATAGCCCATTTACAGGTGTATAAAATATAAATAAGTTGACATTATTTCAGTAAAAATACATGCTAATAATTTTGTTACTAAATACAAATACCTACTCAAAATCTTAGCTTTACAATATAATGAAAAAAAGAATATACTATATTTTGTAAATATTTGTGATTCATAACAACTACTGATGAACTAACGAAACAAATAAAAAATATCTATATTAGGAATGGCGCTTATCTGTATACAGATAAGGAAAGTATAGGAATTGTGTGTGTGTGTGTGTGTGTGTGTGTGTGTGTGTGTGTGTGTGTGTGTGTGTGTGTGTGTGTGTGTGTGTGTGTGTGTGTGTGTGTGTGTGTGTGTGTGTGTGTGTGTGTGTGTGTGTGTGTGTGTGTGTGTGTGTGTGTGTGTGTGTGTGTGTGTGTGTGTGTGTGTGTGTGTGTGTGTGTGTGTGTGTGTGTGTGTGTGTGTGTGTGTGTGTGTGTGTGTGTGTGTGTGTGTGTGTGTGTGTGTGTGTGTGTGTGTGTGTGTGTGTGTGTGTGTGTGTGTGTGTGTGTGTGTGTGTGTGTGTGTGTGTGTGTGTGTGTGTGTGTGTGTGTGTGTGTGTGTGTGTGTGTGTGTGTGTGTGTGTGTGTGTGTGTGTGTGTGTGTGTGTGTGTGTGTGTGTGTGTGTGTGTGTGTGTGTGTGTGTGTGTGTGTGTGTGTGTGTGTGTGTGTGTGTGTGTGTGTGTGTGTGTGTGTGTGTGTGTGTGTGTGTGTGTGTGTGTGTGTGTGTGTGTGTGTGTGTGTGTGTGTGTGTGTGTGTGTGTGTGTGTGTGTGTGTGTGTGTGTGTGTGTGTGTGTGTGTGTGTGTGTGTGTGTGTGTGTGTGTGTGTGTGTGTGTGTGTGTGTGTGTGTGTGTGTGTGTGTGTGTGTGTGTGTGTGTGTGTGTGTGTGTGTGTGTGTGTGTGTGTGTGTGTGTGTGTGTGTGTGTGTGTGTGTGTGTGTGTGTGTGTGTGTGTGTGTGTGTGTGTGTGTGTGTGTGTGTGTGTGTGTTGTGTGTGTGTGTGTGTGTGTGTGTGTGTGTGTGTGTGTGTGTGTGTGTGTGTGTGTGTGTGTGTGTGTGTGTGTGTGTGTGTGTGTGTGTGTGTGTGTGTGTGTGTGTGTGTGTGTGTGTGTGTGTGTGTGTGTGTGTGTGTGTGTGTGTGTGTGTGTGTGTGTGTGTGTGTGTGTGTCTCCACCATAACTCATGAACCGATAAAAAGAAAAACACCAAATTTTAAAATAAAACTTTATTCCTGCGTGCAATGAACTGATTAGATTTTGGGCAGAGTCAGAATATCTGGGGGGGGGGGTACTTTATAGGTGGCCATTTTTATATTTTATAGAATATATCTGTTATTTACGTTTATAGAAGAACAATCTTTAAATAAAAAAGTTACTTACAATATTATTGTCAATATTTTTTGTTCCATATAAAATTTTCCTAAAATGGTCCGTATTCGAGAAATTTGACAAAATGTAAAAAAATGATTTTTTATAAAAATTGTTCAAATAGAAGTTGTGTATAATATAATTTTCTATTATTTTGTAAATGGTAAAAGATATCTTCGACGTCGTGATATGAGACAAGCAGTAAACATTTTATAATACAATTCACTTTCATAATTCTAAAAAAATCATATGTCACTAGATCTTTGGAATAAAATAAAATTTGTTTTTATTTTCTTTATGGTATTATTTTATAATAAAGTTTATAGGTAAAAAAAACAAAACCATAAAACATTTGTTTTTATTCTTACGTTGATACAAAAATAAATATCTGACTACCTGATCACTTTTTGTACATCCATAATACTATAACTTATACTCTTAAAATCAACTTTAACAAATATTCTAATGTATTCTCATGTATCTAGAGTTTCATCTACAGATATTGACAAACGTACCCCATCAAATTATTCTGTAAAAAAACAAATTAAAAAACTAATAACATAAAAACTCTTGTTAGAATTTATTATGTACATTTTGTATTATCCTGTACTATTATTATTGTTTAGTGGTATTAATGTTTATAAATCAAGTAGTCTAAAAGTTTTTATAATAAATTACAACATTTCCTGTTATACCTACTGCAAGCTTTGCTAATAGGTTATGGGCATATGAACTGCAAGAAAAACCTTTTTGAGAGAATCAATTATTTAAAAATCTCCAAGTTGCTAAAATGACATTTTTAGAAGAGTTAGTGATCAAGTTAGAAGCACTAAGAAGAAAATTAGATACAAGAAAACCACAATCAACTATAATCTCCACGGTCATAGAAGGATTAGCAGAATCTAAGCACCTGTACGGCTCTAATTACAGGGAATAGAAATGGCCATTTTATTTAAATTTATTACCTATTTATTCTATAATTTTCAGATAAGTTTAATTTTCTTCCTGGTAAAATGATATTTTGAATATCTGAAATATTTTTTAGTTTAAAATTAAATAAAATAAAATAAAACGTAACATAGATACGGTGTATTTATAAATGGAACGGCTGGAAGTTTTCAGGACACGTCACGCCACGCCAGACTCAGTAGAAATTGAATGAATTTGACTATCCTCTTTAGTTGATATAGTCATTGACTTTGGTTGACAATTCATTTGTCAAACTCATTAACCCTCAGGGTTGTGTTCGACAAGTTACTCTCAGAGTACAATTTACTCTTTCACCGTTCGATTATTATCGAGTAACTAATTTAGGTTCATTAAGTAAGCGTTCGAAAAATCGAAGTTTTGGACATCGAGTTAACCTTAGACCAAGGAGTTAACTATCCGTAATTCAAAAAAATAGCAAGGTAGATTTTACTCGTCTTGGGCAATGATATATCATGTGATATAATTTCAAAAAAGGAACACGGAACAAGAACACCTTTCGCAAAATTCAGGAATTGTGGCCGATTACTATTACAGTGTGCCAGAAGCAGTGAGTTTTTTATCCTTTCTCCATGGTTCTTTTGTGTTATGATAATCTTGTGGAATTAAATGTATTATTAAATTAATAAATAATGCATCAACCTACAACAGAAGAGCATTTATTGTTCGAAATAAATGGACAAATTATTAATAAACTAAATGAATAGGATAAAGACTTAATTTAAGATTAAAACACGATGAGTAAAAAAGTATACAGGTTTTATTCAAGGAGACTTCTTGGTTTTACCTAGTTAATTATGTGATAGTGTGTGATCCAAAGCGCACTAAAGCTCTTATTATACCTTCTCCAATTAGGTTAATTACTTTAATATAGAAAAATCCTGAAACCATGCCATAATATTTAAAAATCCAGAAATTTGTCATTTGTCTGACATCTCAAAAACTCAAAACCGTTCGATTAATATTTAACCCGGTTTAACTCTAGCCAATTTTGTCAGAGAGTAAACTCTAACTACAAGAGTCATTTATCGAACACAATCCAGGCGTACACTGTAGTGCAAGCAAATTTACACGCTTGTAAATATAAACCAAAATCTATTTTTAACCATTTACTCCTACTGTGCAATTCTGTGTACCCTATAGAATCAATGTAACCTAACGTGGCGATTTCGAGTTTGAAAATTATAATGGTAAGAAGTTTTTTTTTCAGCGGCAAACGAGGAGTAAGAAAATTATCGTTTAGATGTCTCAACGTACTTACATGATTTACTGAAAACACGTTATATTGGCTCCATAAAATTATTTGTTGCAGTGAATAGTGTATAGACAACGTGTGATAAATTAGCAGGACTAAAAGTTTGTTTATTTTTTTATACGGTCGTCTAACATTCTTTTACACTACAGTGCACATTGGGTTTTAGTGGAAAAATTATATACTCTAAGTTGTAACCGTATTTTTTGTGGGTTTTGTTTGTTATATTGAAGAATGTTTATATTTTTGTTACAGTTCACTAAAATGAGTAAAAAATATTAAAATTTGAGGAATTCTTCGAATTTGTGAAACAAAATTACTTTGCTATTTTTCATACCAAAAAATAAATGTTTGTATTAATTTTAGTTTAATTTTGTTATCGTGTTATGACGTAATAAAGAGCAAACTACTGACATTTAGTTATTTTTTAGACATATAAATTTATATCTTTAAGTCACAGCGTAAACTTTAGTGTATACATACTTACGCCTCTAGACCCCAGTAGTGTACACTGTAGTGCACATATAAAAACTCAAAAATAAAAATATGGGAACATGAGACAAAAATTTAAAATCACATAATAAATTAAGTAATTATTATGCCAGATTTCAAATTTTTTACTTTTAAACAAAAAAGTCAAAAGGGTTAATTCTCTTGTTTGAAAGTTTAAAAACTTTTGGATAACCCAAAATAATTATTGTTTATTAAAAATTGTGAATTTTCGTAGACCGGAAATTGAAATCCGAAAGGTCAGAATTATGTGAACATAGGTTTATAAATAAATTTTAAAATTCGGAAACAAAGCTCAAAATTCCATCTAGGAATTATTAAGACCATCCCCGGACCCCAAATCTGAAAACAAATATTTGTAGATTTTAAAAAATGTTTATTACTTTATAGATGAAGTAATATTAATATTTAGATATTTAGTTAATATGTACAATTTCATCAAAATGGATAAAAACAATCGCTGGATGTGACTGAAAATTAAGAATTAAGTTTTTTGGAAAAGCAATGAAATAAATTAGTAAAAGTAAAGTGTTTGGAAATATTTCATCAAAAATAAAATACTTTTTGGGATTTCCGGTGGTATATTTAAAAAATACTATTTTTTCTAATGCCTAAAATGTAAATATAAAAAAGTTTGGTCATTAAAAAAAATATATCTTTCCAATAATAACCTTTTCATGCGTGATACGAGCATTGTTTGAACATGACATCATACATTGTATTCGAATCATAAAATTACCTAATCGATTTTGTCAATTATTAATCTAGATTTTGTCATAAATTGAAACGTTTGGCAACCATGCATATGTCTTACAATACAATCAAAAAATATTAGGCTAGAATCATCAAAATTCGCAAATTTAATTTTAATTTCTCTGTTATTTATGCGTAACCCGCAATTATTTTTTTTATTATTTTATATATGTATACAATTAATAGTATTTTCTAATTCAAATTTTTTTTTTTCGAAATTCGAGAGTTAATTATGTTTACAAGCACCATGCAGCATAGATTTTAAAGAAAAGTTTTCACCTGTAGTGAGACACAGTAATATGATTTTTATAGCTCTGCAGAGAAATGAGATTGGGACATCGATAGTCGCAGCCTTTTGATATCCAAAACTCGATGAAGAAATCTATATGGAACTACCAGATAGCAAAACGTTCAGACTCCTTAAGGTTTTGTACGGTTTGATGCAAGCAAGAATTAGACAACGTCTTAAAGAAACTAAATTTTAATCAATCTCGTTTAAATCCATGTATATATTTTAGAAAATTAGATAAATAATTTGATTTATTCATAGCTGTAAGTAGATGATCTACTTATTTTTACACAAGGCAAAGACAGAAAACAGAAGAGATATCTAAGGGAAGAGCTAAAGAAAAGTTTTAATATGAAGGTCCTTGGAGAGTCAAGATATGATAATCACCCGCAATAAGGAAGAAGATATCATAGCACTTGATTAGAAAAAGTATATAGAAGAAAAGCTTTCCAGATTCAACATGAGCGAACGTATTGGTATCGAAAGTCATTTAGATCCGAATTAGATTCTTACCAAAGAAATGCAGCCTAATGCCGAGGAAGATACTGAAGAAATGTCTAAGGTACCTTAATAAAGATGTCATTAGTATAATGCATGCTATACAGTGCACTAAATCAGATATTAGCATTGAAGTGGGGGCTCCAAGTAGACATTACTGATCAGCTGTGAAACGTCTAATGAGATACTTGGAACAGATGTCTACTCTCAGGTTCACATTCAATAGGTCCAATAAAGATTTGGAAGTATATGCAGATACCTAACTGGGCCAGAGATCCTAAAGACACTTTAGGGTACGTGTTTATCCTTAGCGATGGAGTTATTAGCTAAGCATCAAAAAACAGCCAACGGTTGTCCTCTCCACCACGGAAGCGAATATACGGCTTTAAGCATGGTAACTCAGGAAGCGATTATTTGAAAATATAAAAAATTTACCATAAATTCTAAAAGAGTATTTTTTAAAGTTTTAAAGTAACATTCAAAAGAAAACACACGTATTGCAATAAAAATCAACAATTAGGTTATTATTCTAGTCAATGGCTTACATTGAACTAGAGAATTCATCGTAGAACGTTGACATCCAAACAAGTACAACTGTCACGTAAATTTTGAATTGATTTAAAGAGACTTGACAGAAATAAAAAGGCTCGAGTGGGGAGTGAGGCCCAAAACTCTTGCAGGAGGCGAAACTGTTTCGGGACACCGAAATGTGTAAAGTAAAGTTTTATGCAACTATTTGTGAAGTATAGGCAAATATCTTAAACTTATTTGTTTTGTTTAAGATAATTAATTGATTTACATAAAATACCAGTTTTACATTTTTGTCCCAAATATTATATTTATCTTATAAATTATATATCATCATATAGTTAAAATTTTTAGGGCTATTTTAGTTTCAAACTATATAATTAATTAGAAAGTTTATATAGGCATCATAAATCATAAGCCTTTTGTCAAAGTTTGGATACATTATTAAATAGTGCTGTTATTCAGTAAATATAATTTAATTTATTTATTCTTGAAACTAATAATCATTTTGTACTTAATTTAAATAAACATTTATTACCTTTTTAATACTATTATTATTCTCTCCTCCCCTTTTTAAAACCAGTTATGAAATACTCCGAGCATTTGAGAAGCCTCGGCGTTTTTATTTCCTTAGGACTAGAAAAGTCTAAAACTAGTTGCCGAGAACCGCTCGACTATGCTATTAAGGGATAATTTTTGTTCTTATAATTTAATTTTTTTATTATTTTTGTTTGCCAATGGTGAATGGATGTCCCTCATAGTGCTGCCTTAATTCCTTAATCGTATATTAACAATAGTAGCTAATGACCTATCATTACTTACAAGTGATCTTTAGGCTTTCTGGTTGTTACAGTGATATTCCTAAAAAACTTGCTAAAATAAAATAAAAAAATAAAGGGCCGAAAAGGTACCCATATTCACTGACAACAAAGGAGCCATTGATTTGAACAAAACTAATGCCCATCGCCTTAGATCAAAGCACATCGATATGAAGCATCTCTTCGTCAGAGAGAGACATGAACTTGGCGAAAGAGAAGAAAGTGATTGAAAGAAAGGTCATTTTGGCTGAATCAATAAATTATTCTAAAAATCATACATTATTTTTCTGGTTGCACCTTTAGAAAGCTTTGCTAATAATTATGCTTTGTCACTAAGGTCAGCATATAAGGAGTAAACTTCCATTCTGTTTTTATAGAAATTGAGCTAATAATAAGTTTTAATGATTTACCTGCTTTTATGTTTTTGATATCACAAATTTCAAAGAGGGTAGATTCCTTTCTGCTGCAAGATTAGGTCTCTGAATAATATGGGTACTTTTAATCTTTTTTTTATTTTTGCCATGTTTTCGCCGTTTATTTTTCTTCTTTTTATGTCTCCCTTTGCTGTTTTTGTGGCCGTGTTTTGATTGAATTATTGGTTTTTCATCGCTTTCATCACCAAAGGAAGACAGTTCATCGTATTCAGCAGAAGAGGTGACATATTCTTCAGGAAAAATATCACTGTCATTATATTCATCAGAAGAAATGTCATATTCCCTACCAATTTCATCAATGAGTTGTTGTGCGTTTTCGGAGTTATAAATTGGTTTTTTAAGTTTTTTAGCACTACTAGCTATATCTATTTTGTATTTCTCGGCCTTGTGCTGTTTCTTTTCAGAATTTTGACCCACGATATTATCAAAGTTCTTATTAATGTCTGTATTATCGTAATCACGATTATATTTTATAATACTATTTGGTTTTGGCCTTATAATTTTGCTAGCAGCATGATTATCACCAGTTCCATATTTCCCATAACCATTGGTTATCATATGTTCCTTACCAAGGTTCTTATTCGTGCTTTTAATAAAATAATCCTGATCTAATAATTTAGGCTTCTTATAGGCATGAGCAATATATTTTTTGAATTCATTGCTTTGTTTAGAATTAAAGTTATCGTGATTTAAGGTTTTACCAAAATACTCATCATTATAATTATTATCAACTTCTTTAGTATCATATTCATCATAAACGTCTTTATTTTGTTCAAGGGGATTATTGTTGGCATTCTTGTTGATGTATTTTTTCTTGTCTTTATAATTATTTCCAATTATGTTAGTTTTCATGATAACTCGATTTGTATTAGGATGTAGAGATTTTAAAACCATATCATAAAATTTAATTTGTTTGGGATTATTATTTTGCATAAATGGATCATTCTCAATACTTTTATTGTTTTCCTTAATATAATCGATATTATTTGTATTTCTATTTCTAATAAAATCACCAAAGGTCATCGATTTGTCAAACCGTAGATTATCAACCTTTTTAACGTCATTTACATTCGATTCCTCATCTATATTTATTACTTCTTCTTTACTATCATTTTCTTTATCAATAAAGTCTTTAAATCCTTTGATATCTGAATAGTTTTCCTTATCTGGATTCTTTTCAGTTAAAGAAGCTGTAAGATTTGTATCATTATCTTTGTCATTAGATTCATTGAAGTTTCTGTTCTTTTTAAGATTTTCCATATCTTTAATGCCACTTATTTCGGAAGTATTTTCCGTAGCACTGTCCGTATCAGTTTCCGGAACTGTAGGATTTGTATTAATGACTACGACTTTGGTAGTAAAATTTTCTATATTATTAAAATCTTTGCTGCCTCTTATATGAGTATGATTTTTATTTTTTAGAGGTATGTAATTTTTATTCCCAGAATTGATCACGTCTGAATTTTTATGGGCATGTCCTCTCATAGAAGGAGAAACACGCACAGTAGATTCTTTATAATGATTCATGCCGATAATATTGTGTTTTGGTATTTGAGGTACGTATTTTTTATTCATAAAATTTAGATTGCCTGGAAAACTATCTGTAGTGATTTCTTTGTAATGATTAATTCCAATATTACTGTTAATGCTTTTAGGAATATATTTTTTATTAATAATATTTAGATTGCCAAAATTCGTATGTCCTTTTTTATTTTCATTAATTTCTTTAGAATGATTTCTGAAATTTGTGTCACTTGGATTCGAAGGTCTATTTGGTGTGATATTTTTAGAACCACTCCAATTGGGTTTTTTATGATCAGTTTTTCTAATATTTGTATTTTTCAGCCTATTATATGGATTTCTATATCCAGGTTCATTTTGGTAAGGAAGACCATTTTCATTGGGTTCGTTATGATGATTAAATCCAATATTTGTATTTTGCGGTCCGTTATCCAAATTTTTGTGTTCAAGTTGACTCTTATAATATTGATTCATGAAATAGATATTATCTAAATTTGTATCATCATCCTCGCTTATGTAAGGGAATTCATCTCCGCTGGGGTCTGCGTGATATATATTCGATTTTTCTGGTTTTATATTATATTTTTTTATTTGAGGATTGTATTTTTGAATTCTAGAGTAAGTGTTATCTAAATTATATCTTATAAGTGGAATATTATTCTCGTTATGTTCTCTAGAATGATTATTATCAATATTCGTTATGTGTGACCACTCATCACCTTCCCTTTTTTCCAATTTAATATTTCCAGTTTCATCGTTTCGCATTTTAAGCTGTTCTATTATGGGAGGATATGTTTTTAATACATTTTTATTGCTTAAACTGCTTCCAGTATCTGAAGAAATTTTTATCGTTTTGTTGTTTTCATCATCAGATATTTCAGTATCGTTACTGTTTGGAAGTTTCGTTTCATTATTATCGTCATTTACACTATTAATATGATTTATATTCTTAGTTTTGTATCTATCGCTATAGGGTTCAATTTTTTCCGTGAGTTCACTTTTTTCTACTCTGTTACTCATATTTTCTTTATCTGTTTTGTTCTTCATATGTTTGTTTTTGTGAATTTTTTCCAGTTTTTTTGGGTCTAAAGTAATATTATCTTTATTGTTATTGTCATTTTTGGCAGTATCTTGAGAGTGTTCGTGTTTTTCAGGCTCTGAAGTTTTATATTTTATATTTTTGGTTTCATCAGGAAAATAATCGCTTTTTACTGGATTTATATTCAAAACTTTATTAGTATCATTATCGTCTACAGTTTCTTTACCTTCATTGTGTTTATCATGAATTTTGTTTTTGTCATGATCATATTCAATATGTTCTGGTTCTGAAGTTGGGAACGTATTCTCGTGTTCAATATGCTCATTAGGCTTATTTTTGTTTTTATCGTAAAATTGTTCTGTTGTTTCAGGGATCATGTCTCCATCACTTACATTTTTTGTATTTGTGTGGTTTTTATTATCTTTTCTACTTTTATCGTGACGATGTTCAATTTTTTCAGGCTTTATGTTCAAAACTTTACTTTTATCTTGTTCATTATTTATATCTTTTTGGTTTTTGACCTTATTTGTTTCTCTTTCGTGAGAGTTTTTCTTGCTTTCATGATTGTTGTTTGTTATTTTTAATTTATCTTTATTTTGACTCACACTTTCTTTATTTTTTTGACTTGCGTGCCTATTATTGTCTTTATCGTAAGAATGGTCAACTGTTTCAGGGTTCTTGCTTGATATTTTTAATTTATTTTTATTATGACCTACATTTTCTTTATTTTTTTGACTTGTAACCTTATTTTTGTCTCTATCATAAGAGTTTTCCAATTTTTCATGGTTCTTGTTCGGTATGTTTAATTTATCCATAATGTCACTTTCATTTTCTTTATCGTTTGGACTTCTATCCTTATTTTTGTCTCTATGGTGAGAGTTTTCCGTTTTTTCATGATCCTTGTTTATTATTTTTAAGTTATCTTCATCGCGACTTATATTTTCTTTGTTTTTATGTCTTGTATCTTCATTTTTATTTTTATTGTGGGGAGTTATTATTTTATCAGGGTCCATGTTTGGTATTTTAAATTTATCTATGTAGTGATCTATATTTTCTTCATTCTTATGACTTTTACCCTTATTTTTATTTCTATTGTGAGAGTGTTTCATATTTTCAGGGTCCGTGTTTAATATTTTAAATTTATCTTTATGGCGACTTACATTTTCTTTATTGTTTGGACTTTTATTCTTAGTTTTGTCACTATTGGGAGAGTTATCCGTTTTTTCAGGATCAATGTTTGGTATTTTTAATTTATCTTTATTGTGATTTGCATGTTCCTTGTTTTTTTGACTTGTATTCTTACTTTTGTCTCCATCGTGAGAGTTTTCCAATTTTTCAAGGTCCGTGTTCGGTATGTTTAATTTATCTATAATGTCACTTTCATTTTCTTCATTGTTTTGACTTCTATCCTTATTTGTGTCTCTATGGTGAGAGTTTTTCGTTTTTTCATGATTTTTGTTTATTATTTTTAAGTCATCTTCATCGCGACTTATATTTTCTTTATTTTTATGTCTTGTATCTTCATTTTTATTTTTATTGAGAGGAGTTTTTATTTTATCAGGGTCCATGTTTGGTATTTTAAATTTATCTATATAGTGATCTATATTTTCTTCATTCTTATGACTTTTATCCTTATTTTTATCTCTATTGTGAGAGTGTTCCATATTTTCAGGGTCCGTGTTTAATATTTTAAATTTATCTTTATGGCGACTTACATTTTCTTTATTGCCTGGACTTGTATTCTTAGTTTTGTCTCTATTGGGAGAGTTATCCATTTTTTCAGAATCGATGTTTGGTATTTTTAATTTATCTTTATTGTGATTTGCATGTTCCTTATTTTTTTGACTTGTATCCCTATTTTTGTCTCCATCGTGAGAGTTTTCCAATTTTTCAGGGTCCGTGTTCGGTATGTTTAATTTATCTATAATGTCACTTTCATTTTCTTTATCGTTTTGACTTCTATCCTTATTTTTGTCTCTATGGTGAGAGTATTCCGTTTTTTCATGATTTTTGTTTATTATTTTTAAGTTATCTTCATCGCGACTTATATTTTCTTTATTTTTATGTCTTGTATCTTCATTTTTATCTTTATTGTGAGGAGTTTCAATTTTATCAGGGTCCTTGTTTATTATTTTAAATTTATCTATATTGTGATCTATATTTTCTTCATTCTTATGACTTTCATCCTTATTTTTATCTCTATTGTGGGAGTGTTCCAGATTTTCAGGGTCCGTATTTAATATTTTAAATTTATTTTTATGGCTACTAACATTTTTTTTATTGTTTGGACTTGTATTCTTAGTTTTGTCTCTATTGGTAGAGTTATCCATTTTTTCAGAATCGATGTTTGGTATTTTTGATTTATCTTTATTGTGATTTGCATGTTCCTTATTTTTTTGACTTGTATCCCTATTTTTGTCTCCATCGTGAGAGTTTTCCAATTTTTCAGGGTCCGTGTTCGGTATGTTTAATTTATCTATAATGTCACTTTCAGTTTCTTTATCGTTTTGACTTCTATCCTTATTTGTGTCTTTATGGTGAGAGTTTTCGGTTTTTTTATGATTTTTGTTTATTATTTTTAAGTTATCTTTATCGCGACCTATATTTTCTTTATTTTTATGTCTTATATCTTCATTTTTATCTTTATTGTAAAGAGTTTCCATTTTATCAGGGTCCATGTTTGGTATTTTAAATTTATCTATATAGTGATCTATATTTTCTTCATTCTTATGACTTTTATCCTTATTTTTATCTCTATTGTGAGAGTTTTCCAGATTTTCAGGGTCCGTATTTAATATTTTAAATTTGTCTTTATGGCGACTTACATTTTCTTTAATATTTGGACTTATATTCTTAGTTTTGTCCCTATTGGAAGAGTTATCTGTTTTTTCAGGATCGATGTTTGGTATTTTTAATTTATCTTTATTGTGATTTGCATGTTCCTTATTTTTTTGACTTGTATCCTTATTTTTGTCTGCATTAGAAGAGTTTTTCGTTTTTTTAACATCAGTGTTTGGTACTTTTAATTTATCTCTATTGTGATTTACATGTTCCTTATTTGTTTGACTTGCTTCCTTATTTTTGTCTCTGTTATGAGAAGTTTCGATTTTCACAGGGTCCGTGCTTGGTTTTTTTAAAATATTTTTATTGAGATCTACATTTTCTTTATTTTTTTGACTTGAGTCATTATTGTATTTATGAGTGTTTTCCAGTTTTTCAGAGTCTGTAATCGATATATTTATTTTATCATTATTTTTTTGATGTGTTTCTTTATTTTTGTCTCTATCGTAAAACGCTTCCAGTTTTTCCGAGTCCATATTGGATAGTTTCAATTTATCTTTATACTGACTTTCAATTTCTTTAATTTTTTGACTTGTATTCTCATTTTTGTCACTTGTATCCTTATTTTTGTCTCTCTCGTGATAATTTTCTATTTTTGCAGGGTCCGTGTTTGGTATTTTAAAATTTTCCTTACTATGGCCAATATTTCCTTTTATTTTTTTATTTGAATTATTGTCTCTATTGGGAGAGTTTTTCATTTTGTCAGAATCAATGTTTGTTTCTAATGTATTTTTATTTTGACTTACATTTTCTTTATTATTTTGACTTGAAACCTGAGTTTTAACTCTATCGTGAGAGTGACTCATTTTTTTAGGGTTCCTGTCAATGAACCCTCTATTATCACTTTTTTTTTTCGTATCATTTTTCTTTATTTCTTTATTGTTGTTTTGATACCTTTCAATATTGTTTTTATTAGGGTGATTTAGTTTTTCTGAATTGTTTTCTGTATTATTTTCGTTATTTGCTTTATAAGTACTTTCTTGTTTTTTACTATTATTCATTCTATTTTCAACAGAAGTTTCTTTATCAGAATTAATAATTGTAACTTTACCATCGTCTTTATTACGTTCATTTAAGGCATGACTATGTTCGTACTTAATTTCCTTTTTAGTGCTTTTTTTACTATCACTATTTTCATTGCTAGTATTATTCATAGTTGCAAGCTCATCATCAATTTTAGTGCTGGAATGTGTTACTTCGAGCTCTGAATTTCGATTTGTTTTACTTGGATCTACATAATCAACGTTTTTAGATGTAACATTTAGGTTTTTGGTCTCTCCAATATTTGTATATTTGCCAATAATATCAGACGTTCTGGTATCTCCCTTATTCCATCTATGCCCAGAAGACGGATTATGTTTATCAAACTCTTTTGTCCATTTTACATACCAATTTGGTGTAGCCTCTTCTGAACTGGAATCATATATTTTGTAAGCATCTTCAATATTTTCGTTTGTAAATAGTTCGCTATTCTCTATATAATTTTTTATTCCATTGAAAAGGTTTTTTAAAGTGTCTGTAACAGTTTTTGTAATAAGAGTTTCGACATATTCATTAGGTATTTTGATACCATTTACTATTGGATGTTTAATGTCTTTTTTAGCGGTTTCAGTCAATGAATCTTCGATTGATTTAAGTTTATTATTTATTTGGTCAATGTGTTTTTGATTTTCCTCTGACTGATTCTTTATTGATAATTTGAATTTTAGTTCTTGGTTTGTTATGTTCAATTCCAGTATTTTAATTTTATTTTTTAAATTTTCGTTGTCTTTTAGTATCTTCAAATTCTGTTCCTTAAATAATCTCAAGACGTTTTTATCAAAATCTTCCTTATTTTGTTTACCATTAAATAAGTTGTTTTCTAATGAGATCAAACGATTTTTGAAATCTTCCAATTGATTTTCCAATTTCGCCACGTTTTCTTTAAGATACATTAAATGTGTTTCTAATTTTTTATTTTCTTCTTTCAGCTGGGTTGTGTCCTGTTTGCTACCTGTTTGAATAATGGTTATGTTTTCTGTTTGAATACAAGATGTACTAGTTTTGTTGTCTGGAGTAACCGGGTCTAAATGTGCACTTAACACCATTTGCCTGAGCAAATTAGACATTTGTTTAACAAAGCTGTTCGATTTTAATAGTGCATCGACAATTTTTTTATTTTTAGCATCTTCCTCGTCTATATCAGCACCTTCTTTGGATTTTTCTGACACTCTATTATCTCCTAATGACTTACTTTCAGTATCACCATAAGTTGCTTTATCTGTGCCCATAATAAATAAAGGTTCTGATTGTGTCATAGCTTTAAAATTATTAATTCCTCTTACTATTGAGTTTGATTCTATCTTTTCTTGGGGTTTATTCTCAGCTAGAACTATATTTCCCTGTACTGAACTGTTTTTACTGTCTTTTAAAATTGATTCTACCTGCCTATCATGTTTATTGGCAGCTAAAATAATGCTTTTTTCTAACTGACCCGATTGGCTTTCTTTAGGGGTTGGTTCTTCTTTTTCTTTGATTGAAACTAGACTTCTTTCCAAATTTCTGTTTGATCTGCTTTTCATTGCACTAGGTTCTTCTTTATTTGAAATTTCATATTTGGATCCAACTGTGCTGCTTTCTAACTGATTGGATCTGCCATCTTCAGGGATTTCTTTAAGATTCTGTTCAGCTTCATTCTTGAATGGAAACATGCTAGTATCTAAAATACTGGTTCCATCTTGCTTAGAGGTGGTTGCTGCCTTACTATGACTGTCATTTCTATTCTGAATTGCTCTATTTTGTAAAGTATTGTTTACATTTTTGTTAGATTTTATTTTTACAATAGTTTTGTTTGGTGTGGATGTAGGAATAGCTGTGTTTCTGGGAATAAAAGTAATATTAAATACTTTACGTTGAATAGCTGGTTTTTCAGTTTCAGCTCCATTTGTAGCAGTAACGGAAGTTTCAGATAGGTTTGGATTTATTTCTTCTATATAAGGTTCTGTGAGAAATAATATATAATCATTAAAATATTGCATAAAATGGACGATGTGGATGAGAGAAATTTTTGTAAATAGAAAAATAAGTATATCTTAAGGGTAATTTGTTTACTTTGCATAATGGCTATTAGGTCGAAAAAGAAAAAGACAATTTGATTTTATATTCTATTCGACGAAATTTCAAAATCATCAAATCGTAATTAGTTATTTATGAGTTTTAACTCACCCAAATTTTGTTTCTTTTCTTCTGCAACTACAATTTTCACTAATCCAAATAAAATGAGAAAATTTATCGGGCTCTTGAGCCTTACCTTCATTATTGTTTTTTAGAAAAAAACATAACCACAAGGAAAAACAAAAGTAAATCAACTGTATACTGTATAATTAATTTAAAATCGTTTTATTGTAATTATTTAATTGACCCAGATATATGATCATATTAAAAATGTAATCAAAAATGTGGAAAATTTTGCATTGTATTCATCCAGTGTAGTGGAAATATTAATAAAAACAAATTTCATGCTGTTTACTTGCGAGACATCGATCCTAAACTTTTTTTTTATTTGAACTCGAGTAGTTAACATCAAATTTTTGTCCCAAGAGTGATAGCCATTTTTAATAATATCTTAAACGAATGCTATGCAAAATTTACTAGACGAAAGTAACATACTATTTTTGTTTAATTTAATACTGATAAACATGGACTGAAGAAGATGAAGCTTGCTAAAGCGGGTAAGTTCAGAAGAGCACAGGATGCACATCGATAACAGAAATGCTATAATTTGTTCTATCATTTTAACTCATTCATGTAGAAACAATCAATTAAAATTATCAGTTCTCTAAGAAAACCCACATTTATATGTTTAATTAGGGATTTAAAAGAAAATGGGTATCAAAACGTTAAGTGATTATTATTCGCGCTCAAAAGCAGCTAACAGAATAAAAACATATTTATTTATTTTATACAACCAGGCTTAGTGGCATTATTACAAGGATAGTTCTTTTAAAAAATTATTTAATGCATGATTATAAAATTTCAAGTATAAACAATCAACTAATTAACTAAAATTATCTAAATAAAGAGGGGTATTGAACTGCTCAAATGTGGTCATCTTAAAAATTTAAGAAATATTACTCAATATTGTGATGTTTGTTTATTTTAAACAACAGTTTATTTATTAATAATTTATTTAAACACTTATTTATTTATAACACTATAATTCTAATTTATATATATTTCGAATGTCTCTAAACTGTTTACTATTTATATTCACTGTCCATATAACAACTGACTTTTGTTGGTCCTCCACCAATATTTATATACAAATTGGTGGTCTAGAATGCTCCTCCACCAAAATTACCAGAATGTACCAGAAACGTTATCACGTTATATTTAGACTAGAAATAGTATCTCGTTGACTCTGGAATGTTCGCGAAAGTGTCTCCACCATAGTCGTCACATAGGTTTGGTCTTAAGGGGTTTTATTATGTATAATAATCGGACAAGTTGAGCCTTAAAGGCCAAATAAGACAGAAAGGGACTTGGAGGGTTAGAACATGACTGAATAATGAAATGGCTCACATAACAATATCAATCACACAAAATTGTGTGGGTATATTAAACATTGATATTTCGCTTGTTATTCGTGATGGTACATTAAAGGTGATTAGAGATAGCAACTCAAAGAAGTTGACAATATTATTTAAGATTTTATGTAAAATAATATAGATGCAACCCTACGCCTACACAGTAATGACACTATACATACAGGGGGTTTTCTAAATTCATGCGACAAAATTCAGGAGGTGATTGCTCGTATGAAATTAAGATGGGTCTTTTCTATAACAAAATTATCTCAGCCCATCCCTTTCCGAGATATCACCCTTAAAAGGTGGTGACTAAAATTGAGTTAAAAACCTTTAAAACCTATAAAAATCAAGAAAAAAATATTGCCTCTTCCTCGGTATTATTAGTCATGGTATTCTAACACGTCATACAAAGTTTCATGAAAAAATGCCAAACGATTTAAGAGCAACGTTAAAAAAATTCATTTAAATTTTTATCTTATACACCCTGTAACTATTTTTGGGTGCACTTTTGTATATAAGTAATTACGGTTTACTCGACCTATTTTTGACCCAAGAATATGTAGTATAATTTATGACTAATCTTTTTGAAACACCCTGTATTTTTAGGTCATCTGCAAATAATAAGCATTTAGACAAGTTAATACATTTTGTAATGTCATTAACAAATAACAGGAAAAACAGAGGAACCAAGTTTGTGCCCTTAGGTACGCCTGAAGCAGCGTGAAATTTTTCCATCGTATTTAACTTGTTAATATCTGTTTTCTAAATAATTTTTAAAGAAATTCATGGAACTTTTAGTGCATCCAAATTAATAAATTTTTCGCAAAAAAACATCATGTTTCACACCATCAACGGCTTTAATAAAGTCCGTGTTATTCGTGATGGTACATTAAAGGTGATTAGAGATAGCAACTCGAAGGAGTTGACAGTAAAATTTGAGATTTAATGTAAAATTAATAATAGATGCCACTTTACGCCTACACACTAATGACGCTATACCTATATTAAATTCAGTACAAAGTCGGGTAGTTCTTATCTATATATACATATATAATTCAAATGTGCGTATGTATGTCATCAAACTCCTTCTAAACGATTGCACTGATTCTTCTGAAATTTCGGCTATGCGATTAAAATGACTCAAAAATGGTTTAGGTTCACAATTATATAAAATGTTTTCATAATTAAACTAGTAAAATTTAAAAAATAATATGAATTTTGGACATTGCTCTGACATTTCATATATCATTCCACTTTCCAATATCATGTATTACAAATGTCACTCACTGCGTTCCGATATCATGTCTTACAAATAATATATAATAATATGTATAAAATACAAACAAAAGAATTCACGCAATTTCAATTTAAAATCATAGTTGCTTTGGATTTAAAAAGCGTCACTTTTAATAATTTAGGATGGCGAATTAAAATAGTTTTTTCTACTACCGTGCGTAAAGTACGTACTTTACGCACTCCACGAAGTGTGTAAAGTTGTAATTTTTGTCACTAGTGCGTAAAGTAAAACTCTTTACGCACTAGTTAAAAAAAGTAAAATTTGACAAAATTTGTACATAACAACAAAATATAACGTTTTATTTTATATTAACATTTTTTTGCTACAAAAAAATAAATTATTTTTGCTTATATCTATTTAGTGTCCAACAAGTTATCAACAGTTTATTTTAATTATAATTTTCTCTAAATGTCATCGATTTAATTAAAAGTAAACATACAGTGGATGCCAAATTTGGTAAAAGTAAGTTGGCCGTGGCTGTGTGGATTAGAAGAACTGTTAATCTCTAAACTTTTAATTAGTACCTACCTTATAACAGAACACGACAAAAGTATACTTAAGTTCAAGATTAGATTCTAAAGCCAATTTAGCATTTTTTTAAACTCAATCAAGTTTGAGAAGGTAAAAAGTTTTACTTTTTAATGTTTGTTTACTTAAATTCAAATTTTATTTGCAGTTTATTATATCTGTCATAATCGATATGGATTCAAATTTATCTAGCGATAGCGAATTTGATAATACTCGCCCAGATATCTTATGCAGTGCACAAAAAGCCACTGAAAATTTATTGCCAGAAAAATCTGCATATATTTATCAGCAAAAATACAATGCATTTATAGAATGGTGTAGGAAGAATAAGGTGACAAAATATTCGGAAAACGTTATTTTAGCATATTTCTCTGATAAATTGAAGAATTGCAAAGCTTCTGCCCTATGGTCGATTTATTCTATGCTTAAAAGCACCTTAAAATATAAAAACAACGTTGATATTTCGAAATTCAACAAGTTAATAGCGTTTCTCAAACAAAAAAATAAAGGTTATAAACCATAAAAATCCAAAATTTTTAAACGAGAAGATCTAATTAATTTTCTGTTGAAAGCTCCAGATTCCAAGTTTTTAATGATCAAAGTAAGTAAATGCCTCAGTAACTGCTTGAATGCTCAGTATAAAATTAAAATATTCTGTAAAGTTTTGCAACGAGATGTTTGTTCGTATGGTGTGTTGCCTAACAAAATCAGTTGCTGTCCTAACAGGCCACCGGGTTTGTTAGGCAGCACATTATACCTAAAACATTTATATTTTTTACAATAGCATTTATTTGGAGTTTTACATGCGCAAAGTCAAGATATTTTCTAATGTTTAATAAATTATTTGTAACATTACAATATGTTATTTTTTAGGTAGCTTTTATAATTGGAATTGCGGGAGCTTGTCGCCGGGAAGAATTATGCAAAATGACAATTAACGATGTGGAAGATAAACAAACAGTGTATATTATCAAAGTATCAGAAACCAAAAATGGAATAGAACGCATTTTTACGATTTTAAATCCAAATAATTCTGCAGTTGATTATTTCTAACTGTCAAAAAACATGGAGGATGGAAATCATCTGCTGTTGCAGAAGGCTACGTAGACAGCACAATAACACAAAAAAACAAAATTTCTATTAAAATTTTGATGGATGACAGTATGCCATTCACTTCCAAACAAAGCTACAATTTTACCGTTGACAACTCTAATGAAGAATTAGTGGAACCACTCGACAGTGAAACTAAAGTTACACAAAATATTTTAACCTCTTTACTTGAAAAGGCCAAATCCATACCACTCGAAGCTCAAAATAGGGTTACAGAAGTAATATCACAACATTTTTCAAACTCTGTGCGGGAAAAGGCCAAAACCTTAAGTTTTGGTAATTGCAATGATTGCACATTCAATATTAATATTCATAAGAGTTAAAAACCTATTTTTTTAAATATTTCCTCATTTGTTAGTCATTTTGTTCTGTAAGAATTATAAATTTGTAAAGTTCCAATAAATTTATTTTTGTTGCTGTGTACAATTTTTGGCATATTTTACTTTTTTTCACTAGTGCGTAAAGTATTTATAACTTTTATATTTCTAATATTAGTGGATTATGTGTACGGTATTAGAAAAAATATTGTATGCCACTCGTGTGTAAAGTCCCTTTTTTGACTCATGTGATTGTCGCACGAGCCGTAGGCGAGTGCGACAACATTCACATTCGTCAAAAAAGGGTAACTTTACACACTTGTTGCATAAATAACTATTTTAACGGGGTGGGAGTTGGGAATATCGTACAAATATTTAATAAATTTAAATAAATAAAAATAAATAAAAAATAAAATAAATAAAAATAAATAAAAATAAATAAAAATAAATAAAAGTAAATAAATAAAAATAAATAAAAATAAATAAAAATAAATAAAAATAAATAAAAATAAAT